GCCTCACAGATTTCTTAAAAAGGTTGCAGGGATCCCTAGGGATTCTTGGACCACACTATGAGAACCGCTGCTTTTGGTAATGCACAAACCACTATAAGAATATCAGCAGATGACAGGAAGCTAATGCTAAAGTAATCTGAGGATGAACTAGAAGGAGGAGGCCTGAGAACAGGACAGCAAGCAGGAAGACTATTAAAATGGTCCAGGAAGACCAAGAACACGGGAAGCCCTTCTCTAAAGAGGAGACACTGGGGTGCAGACGTGTATGCATTCACATGTTAGAGTCTACGGGAGCCGGTATCCAAATGCATCCAGGCTAGGGCAGACAGCAAGCCAAGGATGACGTCAGGCATTTTGGGTTGGAAAATCTGGGCGGATGTTAGTTAGATGGTGATGATACAAAGGTACAGATATAAGGCACAGGAAGGCCATTTCTAGTATTAGCTCACCAAAGATGAAAGGAATGAGCCAGAAAGAGAAAGGATGTGAAGATTCCAGACCCATGGCACAGAGAGATCCAGACAAACAGGCTCTGGGAAGCTCACTTTTTTATACTACTGTATTCAATGCTGTTTTAAAATGATAACAAAACAGTGTTTGCATTAAGACAGTAAAACTAATCTCTTTAAAAATGCAAATACCCTCAAGAGTTAAGGAGGGAGGAGCTCCTTAATACTCCTTAACCAATGAGCACATCTTGGTATTAATTAGTCAGATTGCTTTCCATCTTAATAGAACACACGAGAACTTCAGATCACAGCCCACGGCAGGACAACTGGCCTGGGAAGGCAGCATGGTGGGGGACTTTGGGTCTAATATGGGATAAGGGGAAGCATAGAGGAAAAAGGAAAAATGTTAATCCCCATGGAATATATTACTACATGGATATTTCCAGTTTAAGAAGGTAGCTGGAGAGAAGAATTAAGTCACTGGGTAGCTGGTGGGCAAGAAGGGCTAGTTAGAGTTGAAAAGGCACCAAAGACAATTTTGTCACTTTAAAGTATTTTCAAGGGCTCTACTTAGTTTCAGAGATCACATGAGAGGCATATCACCCCATCAAAAAACAGATTCCAAGAGGAAATAAATGAACTCGACTCCCAACCAGCTTCTTATTACTCCTGGAGAAGTCTAGAGAGGAAGGTGATAGGGACTTGGAGCATGTGTATGTGTGTGCAGACGTGCATACTTCAAAGCTGAGACTGAGACCTGATCTCCATGCCCCGGTAAAGATGGCAGAAGAGGGGATACAGTTCCCCTTCTGTATTCTACAGGCTAGAGGCTCAAATCCATGCCCGGAGCTCTCTTTCTCCTCCTCCACCTAAGATATGGACCTGTGGACAGTTCTCTGGACTGAGCACAGGGTTACTTCTGTGTGGTCAGCACAGACCAGAATATGCAGAGGACACATGAGTGAGCAAGAAGGATATACTAGAAATAATATAGAGCGTGATTTAAGAAATTCACATGCCTGGGGTATAGCAAATGTACAAGTTACTAAACATGATCACTTCTTAAATCAAGCAACTCTGATTTGAATAGATACTGTTATATAAAAACTTCATATTCTAACAAGATTTTAATAACATCTTAGTCTTAACAATGATTTAACACAATGATTTCCCAGCAGATAGCACCTGGGTAAAGGCCACACCTACTGACTCAGATCCCTCCCTCCCCGGCAGGGTCATGTTCTTAAGGTTTTGTGATGATGCTTCTTACTTTCCATTATTGAGTGTTTTTCTAAAAAATCGTGGTGTGGCTTGGGAAAGGCAGCCTTGATCATGTTGATTCTCTCCTCTGTAGAAAGGGGTCAATAATAATTAATGTCTTATTTTTCACAATAAAGTTGTTAGGATCATGTTATGGGAGAACACTTCATAAACAAGAAGATCCTACAGAAACATTAGTTACAGTAGAGCTCCAGGTTACCTTGTACTCATCTCTTCCAGACAGGAAGGCCAATAAGGGAACTGGCATCCATTGTAGGTTTTCTATTTGCCATGCTATCTCCTTCCTCAAGACCCCTTAGCAGTGGGGTGGTGACATCCCATTTTACATGTGGGGCTCATTGAGATTAAGTAATTTGCCTAAGGCAAGCCACTTATAGAGTGACAAAACTATGATTTGAACTGGTCTGCTATCTCAAAAAAACCAGGTATTTTTAATTGTGAGGTGGAAGGGGCAATGGCAGAGGTGACAGCTCTATGCGGGCTGGAACAGCCAGGTGGCTGACATGGACATGAGGGAAGTTGTAGCCACAGCCTGTGCCAGTGCCCATGCCAGAAGGTGAGGCTGCTTTTGTTTTTTGCTCTCACCTAACATCACTACACCAGCAGGATGCAAACTTTGCTGATCACAGGTTAGAACCCTCCCTGTCTATCCCTAAGGACAGCAGAGGGCCCACGTTGCTGATTTTTCCTGGGTATGGAGGGCACCATGGGGGGATGAAGAAAAAGGTATGTACATAGGGGTCAGAGAGACCTGGGTGCAAACCGCAGCTCCATTACTCACTGCCTGAGCACCCGGGGCCAGTCCTTACTTATTTGCCTGTGACACTTCTTCATCTTTAAGCATCTTGAAGTCGCTGGAATGCAGGCAAGCCTTAAGCAAATGCCTGTGAACATAGTGGACACTCAAGAAGGAGTTGCTTCTATGATGATGACGACGACTTATGAACAGGCTAATGTGCACTTAGTAATTAAGTTTTTTTTTTTTTTTCCACAAATACTCTGTGGTAGACTTAAGATAACTGCAAAATGTTACTACTTTTCCTTTTGAGAGGTGCAACATAATTCCTCTTCCCTTGAAGCACGGTTGGTCCTAGTGACTTCCCTGGCCAGTACAACGTGGCTAAAGCATTGTTCTGGGATTTCAAAGTTTAATTCATAAGAAGCTTTATAAGTTTTACCTTGGCATCATGATGGTGAGCTGCCACGTAAGAAGTCTGACTACCTTGAGGCTATCATGCTTTGAGGAAGCCTAAACTTGCCATGTGTGAGGGCTTCAGAGGGAGAGAGATGCTTGGCCAGACCCAGCTATTGGAGCCATTCCAGCCCAGATCCCAAACAATATGCAGCAGGGACAGTAGTCTCTGCCAAACCCTGCTCAAAGTGCAGATTCATGAGCAAAATAAATGACTGTTTTTGCTTTAAGCCACAAAATTTGGAGTAGTTTTTATGTAACAATGTATAATCAGAATGCTCAATCATGTTTTTTTTTTTTTCTAAATTGAAAATACTGAGTTATATAAAATAACATTTTAAGTTTGTGTTGACTCTTTGGTTCTCATATCTATTTTAGATATGGCAAAACCATTTTGTTTGTGGACAATGTTAATATAGGCATAACTTAACTGGCTGACCAATGACCTATATGAACTATTATGTGTGTATGCATGTCAATAATCTGGGTAGTTTCGTGAGGGCCACTACCTGTCTCCTAACCAGCAGGAAACTACCTACTCTGGCTATCTGCATTTCCCAGCAAGCTTTGCAAACAACAAGGTGTTGAGACACAGTTGATTTCTGTATTTTTCCCGATGATGTTTGAAACCTCTTCAGCATTCATAGTTGCTCAACTTAGGAACACAGACCTTGTCATAGCATAAGACTTGTCTCTGAAACATAGGAAAATTTACCCAATTTCTTTACAATAACATATTATATATTAATAACCTTAAAACATGCAAACTTTGGAGCAATCAGTGTAGGTTAAACTCAACAAATATTTTGCTGCCTCCCAAATCTATTATGCTCTTTCCTTTGCTGTTTCTCCTGCTGCAAAGCCTGCCTCCCCTTCTCTGAGGGCTCTGTGTGCATGTATGTGTATAAAATCCTATTTATCCTTTAAATGTCTCCTCTTCCATCAAGGCAGAGTTAATCATTCCTGGATGACATTGCTTCTTCAATCTGTAAAGCCTTTTCTCTAACAAAAAAGCTTATCATTAAAAAAAAAAAATTAACTAACCCACAGTCCCATAGAACACATGGAGAAAGAACATGAGAGAGTCCCCACAACTCTTGGCGACTTTCCACCAGGCTGAAACAGGCTGACGTGATATGTGTTTCAGGGATTAGAATTCAGCAGAAGAAATGAGTCAATTAAAACACCCAGCCAGAATGCTGTCTTTAGATAAAGTGCTTTGCACTGGGGGCACAACATAAACGGAATTACTAAATTTTAAGGGCTGCCTGGTGATTTGCATCTCAATCTCTATTTTATTCATTTTATTTTCTCAGCAAAAGCTAACAAGGGGCCACTCAGTCTAGGAAAGATAGGTACTTCATTTAACTAGACAATGAACTCCCAGTTTTCTAACTCCATGGTTTTGATTTGACCTGGAGTGGGCAGTGCCTATTGTCCCAGGTGGGCCAATCAAAACATCAAACCCACCAAGCGGTATTGATTTTTACATTCCTTTAGTAGCAATTCCAATCCTCAAGGATATACAGTCCCTAAACGGCAACTGGTGCTTTGTGGCACAATCTCCAAAATGCAAAGAGCAACATGCAGAAAGTTATAATGGAACACTCTTTATTTAACCACAAAAACCAAGGAGTCACATTTTCGCCACTCATTGTTTGAGAGCCATGCATAACATTTCAAGCCAAAGGTTGCAAAGTCAATGAATGGTAACAGGTTCTGTGATAAAATCCAGAAAACACAACCTACCATTTCCTCTCCACGAGAAACCTATAGGTTATACTAGATGACCACAAAACCAAGAGCAATCATGTTTTTTAACACTCATTCTCAAATTAACTACACTTAGCATGTCAACTTGGAATTATTATAATGGAGTCTGTGTTACAACTAATGTCCAAGGCAACAGAATGACTTAATGCTTGATGCTTTACCTCGATGAAGCAGAAGGAAAATTCACTGACCTTCCACACTGGACCCAGCCCTGGTCTTCCTCCTAAAAGTGTGTAAGTTTCTGACACTCAGCAAACAATAACTTTGGTGTATTTTAGGGAAAAAGATATGCAGTTTCAACTTACTTAACAGTTGGCAATAGAGGGCCTGTAAACTTCTCTTCATGGTATCATCTGGTCCTGCTTATCCTCCAGTTTATTCATGATTCTGTCTAGGAAATTGGGAGAAGAAAATTGTTACATCTGAGGAACATAATAACCGAAAGAACTCCATTCAACATGATCCTGGCAGTAAAACCTAAAATATCTGAACTTTTAAGAGAAAAAACCTTGGAATGGATATACAACAGTTTCATTTACAATGGTCTACGTTATAAAACCGCCAGTTAATCAACTGGTCAAATCCTGAAACTGTACATCCCAGTGCAGGAAACTCATGTGGGAAGCTGGCAAGTGAGAAATGGGATTCAGAACTTTTGAGTCCTCATGAATCTCTCTTGAACCTCTAGTCTTAGAAGGAGAATTAAAAAATTTCTGCTAAGGTGCTCACAAACAAAAAAAACCAAAACAGAAAGCTTGAAAATGTCCTATTTTTAAAAACTTTTCTATTATTTTCTAATTACAAGGATACTTCTAGCATGCAATATTTGAAAATATACAGAAAATATAGCTAAGGATAAACTAGAAAATACATATTACCACTAGTCTACCAAGAAGAGTTGATTATTGCTCACATTTTGAAGTACCATCTCTAGCCTTTTGGATGTGCACTTATATTGATATATTTCATTTTATGGATTATACTGATAAGGGAAACCCCATCTATTACTTGGTGCATCGGGCACCTGAGACCCCCACCCCTCATGGAAGACCCGCATCAGCATAGTACTAACCTATTACGTGGCCCAGCAACTAATCTATTACCTAGTGCATCAGCATAACACTAAACCTATTACCTGACATATCAACTAACCTACACCTGATACCCCACCCCTCAGACCACCCCAACTTAATAAAAGTGGGAAAAATCGGGTAGATAGGCTCAGAATTTGGTGGTGAGACCCCTCTGAGCAGACGGTGAATAAACTTTGATTCTCCACCTCTCCATGTGCCACTCAGTTTGTCCTCGGGACCACTTGCTATAACAATACATTTTAATTTTTCTCCCTAGCTGCAGAAACATCTTTCTGTGTTGTTACTATTACTTTACTAATTTATTTTATTAGTAATTACTAATTTATTTTAATAGTATTTATTAATTTATTTTAAATAGTATTTATTAAAACAATTATATAATCATTATAAATATAAATTTTATAGAAATATAAATATAAAAATATAAACATAAATTTATAATAATTTATTCAAATAATATAATATAAATAATAGTATTTATTTAAATAGTATTTCCTTAAGATAAATTCCTAGAAATGGAAACACAAGGACACAGTTTAAGGCTTATTAAATAAATATATTGCCAAATTGCTCTCCATTAATACAGTATATTGGAATAACCATTAGACTGTAAACTACCCAATGAAGGAAATTTATAATTTCATCTCTTCTTTGGCAAGCAGATAGGCAAATGCTCTATCCCACTGATTTAATTTGCATTTTCATGTTTATTAGTCATTTGTCTTTTAAAAACTTTTAATTTGTATCTTTAACCATTATCTAGTGGCATGCTAGTTTTTCTCATGACACCCCAAATGGAACTGCTTTATCTTAAAAAAATTTTTTTATTGAGATATAATTCATATATAAAAATTCGGTCTTTCATGTGTACAATTCAGCAGTTGGTAATATATCCAAAAGTTGTCCAACTATCACGACTACCTAATTCCAGAACATGTTCATCACTCTAAAAAGAAACCCTCATGTTCATTATCAGTCACTCCCCATTTTCCCCTCCCCCTAGACCCTGGCAACCACTAATCTATTATCTATCTCTATGGATTTGCCTCTTCTCAACAGATTATATCAACAGAATAACAATACGTAGTCTTTTGTGTGTGGCTCTTTCACTCAGCATAATGTGTGTTTTTTGTTCTTTTTTTTTTGAGAGAGAGTCCTGCTTTGTTGCCCAGGCTAGAGTGAGTGCCATGGTATCAGCCTAGCTCACAGCAACCTCAATTTCCTGGGCTTAAGCAATCTTGCTGCCTCAGCCTCCCAGGTAGCTGGAATTACAGGCATGTGCCACCATGCCTGGCTAATGTTTTCTATATATATTAGTTGGCCAATTAATTTCTATTTATAGTATAGACAGGGTCTCGCTCTTGCTCAGGCTGGTTTCGAACTCCTGACCTTGAGCAATCCACCCGCCTCGGCCTCCCAGAGTGCTAGGATTACAGGTGTGAGCCACCATCCCTGGCCCAGCATAATGTTTTTAAGGCTAATCTATGTATAACATGCTGGGGTTTTTATTTTTCTTGTTTTTTAAAGAGCCTCCCTCCCTCCCCCTCTCCCCCCTCCCCCTCTCCCTCCCTTCCCCTCCCCCTCCCTCTCTCCCCCCCTCTCTCTCCTCCCCCATTCATGGTTAGAAAGGCCTTCCTTAGTCCAGGATTATATAAGTACTTTCCTATTTTTTCTTCTGGTATTTTTTATTTCATTTGTTATATTCTAAATATTTTTATATTCTTAGATCTGTTTCTGGACTTTGTTATGTTTTATTTTTCCATTTGCTCATTCTTCCACTAGAATAATAAATGTTTAAATTAAATCTTTGGTAGAGTTATTCCTTTATTATTACTTTTCTCTTTAAGATTTGTCTTGTTCTTTGACCGTAATTTTTTTCCTCCCAAATTTACTTTAAGATCATTTTATTAAATTCCAGAAAAAAATACCATTAGAATTACAGTCAGAATTATCTCCTATTTGATTTATTTGGGAGAAATCTGATCTTATCAAAATCCAAATATGGTAAGGAAGAAAATAAATATTTTAAAACTTGTTGCTCTGGAAATCAGAAGAATCTTTTTCAGGACCTGGGAAGTGCTCTTTATTGAGGAAGGAAGTGAAATAGCTCAAATTACCCCCTCCCTCCCCCAGTGAGATTTGTATGAGTAAGAAAGAGAGAAAGAGATAGCTAAATTGCTTTTCATTATAAAACAACAGGAAGTTTGAGTTTCCAAAGTCTAAGGCTAGGACAAAGGAATTAAAGTTTCTGGAAATTGGAAATGCTGAGGAGATAAGAGAGATTGAGGGACAGGAAAAGAAAGAGACAATTCCAATGTCAAGGCGTTCCACCAAAACCCGCCCGTTTCGCTTATCCTGCTCCTAATTTGAGCAGGTACTCACAGCAGATGAGGTGATTTGGGGTCATACTTCTGATTGTTTGACTACCATGTAAATGAAGTAACTTTTGGGACATACTTCTGATTGGCTGACTACCATGTAACTGAGGTGACTTTTGTGAAAACTTGCCATTAGCTAAACTGTAACCCCCCAAAAGGTATAAAACTAAAAGAAAACGAAAAAGGGGCGCTCAGAGTTTGGTGGCAGATATGCTTCTCTGAGCCCGCCGATGAAATACAGCTGACTCTCCAACTCCCCGTGTGCCACTCGGGTTTTTCTTCGGCCAAGAGCTGTTCGCACCTGCTGGAACACCAAAAGATGGCAGCAGGTGGGATCTAAGAATAAAGTGAGGAATTCCCCACAGGGGATGCCCATGAAGTCTAAAGGTGTCTCTTATTTAATTTTTCATTGCTTCTTGTTTTATGCTGTTTATATTGAGATGCTACTTCTGTATTTCTTCTCGCCTGCAATGCTTATCACTACTAGTATTGTCAAAACCTCAGTAGAAATCTGGCACAATATAGACTTGTATTGGTGGTGTTTGACAGGGGCAAATAGAGAATACACTATGCCCCAAGCCAAGGGTGACCCAGCAAACAGAGGCAACAGCCCCAGGAGCCATAAGCAATGGTTAGTGAGTATCTATGGAGTGTTTAGGGCATGGCAAGCAATCAATAAATGTGTATTAAATAAACAATGAATGAATGATCAAGTAACAGGAAAACAGAGAAACAGTTGTAGTTTATAATAGTCAAGGGGAACATAATCACCTCAATCATCTCTGGAAATTAGGGACTTTTGAAAAAGTGATAAACTTCCCCCTATAATACATGGAATAGATCCACTTTATTCAGCTATCAAGAAACAACTGATTCTATAAATCTGGGAGAGTTGGGATGATCTGGGTTACACAGGGATCTCCCAGCCACAAGCATCATATAACTGACTATTAAAAATTAATCTTTATTTAGGTCTTTTTGTGGATTTTTGTAGTGTTTTCCTTCATATAAGTTATCCAGTCTTGTCAAATTAATTCCTAGGCATTTTATATTTATTTTTTGCCACTGAGATAGAATTTCTGTTTCCATTATATTTTCTAATTGCCTCTATATGAAAATGACTGAATTTTGTATATTAATTTTGTGACCTAACTGAATTCACTCACTGTTCTAATGATGGTTTCTCAGCTGAGTCTCTTGAGCCAATTGTGCTGCTTTGGATAGATGGCAAGCCACAATTAGATTCCATCGAAAGCCTCTTTTAAACCATATAGTAGAAAACATTAATCGCCATCAAGCCTCGTCTCTCAGGGAATTTAGGAGCTTGAAGGATGACAACTAATTTCTTGGACAAAATCCTAAAAAAGTACAGAGTTTTACAGCCAAAAGGCCTGAGTAACACAAAAGTGACCCACCAGAATCAAAGCCCACCCCTGCAGAATCAACCAACAGGTCCGCCACAGTAGTTCCAGGTTCTAGGTCTGACCCTATATACCCAGATACCAGAGCCACCACCTGCTGATCCAGGCACCAGACCAGGCTGCCAGAATACTCTAGCAGCAAACCTACCCAGGGACCATGTCAGATGGCCTCCCCAGAATGTATGAACAGACTCACTAGTAAAGGGCTTTCCCAAACAAAGCTAGTCTTCAAAGACTGGAATAAGTCCATACTTCTTCAAATGCATAAACATGAATGTATGGCCACAAAGATCAAGAACAATTGGAGAAATATGACACCACCAAAGGAACAAAATAAAACAGCAGTGATCAACTTTAAAGAAATGGAGATTTATGAACTGCCTAACAAAGAATTCAAAATAATTATGTTAAGAAAGCTCAGTGAACTTCAATAAAATGCAGGGAAACAATTCAATAAAATCAGGAAAACAATGAATGACCAAAATGAGAAATTTAGCA